GAAGTACGGGGGTATACCGTAGTTCAGGTAACGACACACCATCCCAGGTGTGGGATACTGACAGGTAAATTCCATCTACCTGCCAGGTAAAGGTGTTAGTCGGAACGCCTTGGAAAGGTGGAAACTACTACTGCTGTTACTACTACTACTTCTACTACTATTACTATTACTACTACTACTTCAACTACTACTACTACTACTACTACTACTACTACTACTACGAAGAATGAAACGGAAATTTCAGTTTGAACTGATAGTGTGGGTATTTCGATGAGTGACGATGGGCGAACGTTCACGAGATAAACCTCGGTACACACGGTACACTGTACATAAGTAAAACAGAAAGTGAACAGCTGTCTGGACATAAAGACTCTAAAAAATAACCCAAATATTTCTTCACCCCGTTACCCGTGAAAGATCACAGTTAGAACTGATCTTCAGCAACCCACGCTTGTCTCGACAAACGGGATCGGATGGTCAGGCTCGTTAACTTGGTTGACACATGTCATCGTATCCCAATTACGTAGATCGATGTTCATGCTGTTGATCACTGGAATGTCCGGTCCAGACCCGATTATTTACAAACCGCCACCATATAGCTGGAATACTGCTGAGTGCGGAGTAAAACTAAAATCACTCACTCACTCTTCACCCGTTATGAGTGAGTGAGTGCAGCAAACCTGCAGTAATATCACGCCGGGTCTTCAGCGTGACGAGCGAACGCTTTAACCACCAGGCTACCCCACCGCCCCTAGCAATCCTGTGAAAATGTCTTAATACCAATTCTGTGGCGTAATTATAATGTTTAACTATTTTACACTAATGAAGTTTTTTGTCAGTAACTTATGCTTACATCGAACTTACATTTATCACAAATGAGAATTACTTCTTTTTGACACTTAAGTGCAGGATTATTGATTTTGTATGTGTCAGCCGGGATCGAATCTACATCCTCAAATTTCTGCATGTGCTGTAGTCGACCTCAGCTACGGCGTCCCATGACAGAACGTTGTGAAAATAACAAGGGTCCGAGTGTTTCGCCCTGGCTCACCTACCTCGTTCGTTTGTCTTCGGATCTTCACAGACGGAGGTATTGTAATAAACCATCTGATTTAAATAACATGAGTGACTATGCCCGAGCACGTAGGCGTATCACGCTAGGTAGGCTAGAAAACTTAATTTGACAAGGTGCCCGTCTTTGTGAGTGAGCATGTGCATAACAGTTTAAGTAAACATTTCGTTCTACATAAAACCTACCGGACCTTGAGATAGTTGTCAATTTCAAGCAAAGTCATACTCATCCATCTACATGAAAACACGGGTCAATGAAATTGTTCATGGTTAAACCTTAAACTTTTACTCAGTAATACGATGATATAGCTGTTTCATTCAAACACGGCGTGGTGATGGGGGTTGGCTGGGGGATGCTTCTGCTTGGTGTAGATGGTGCGGTGAGTTGAGGATGTCCCCGTTCGTTACAGTTCAAGGCGTGACGTATACGTTTGCTCCGCCATCCCCTGCACACCGGTACTTGACGCACTTCTCTGTTTGTTGTGTAATATTGCGAAAGGCGAAATACAAGCTTACTTTCCTACATTCACGGAACGATTACACAATGCGCTCTGTCTGAACGAATATGCATTATGGATATTTTTAACAAAATACACACTGTAATCAAGATCCGTATCTGTAAAAGTCAATAAAAACACACTGGGGCATCCTGGTACAACGCAGTTCCCCTTTGGTGTCTTCGTCAGGTATTTTTTAACAAGGATGAATCGTAAAGGCTCCGTCTCCTGAATCTTTTAATTCATACGGAATAAAACAGTTATAAACAAAACAATATACGTCGGATTCGATTTTATCAGTTTATAGATTTCTGTAGATGTCCTCTAGGTGACCAGGGCCGGTGGGGTAGGCTAGTGGTTAAAGCTTTCGCTCGTCACGCCTAACCCCCGGGTTTAATTCCTCACACTGCTACAATGTATGAAGCCCAATTTCTGGTGTCCCCCGATATTGCTAAGTTACTGCTAAAATCGGCATAAAACTAAACCAGATGTACATGAAAATCACTCTCTTGGTGGCCATCCGATTATGTGCAACTAGAACCCGCCAGTCTTACTAGGCCGATCATCGTTTTAGATACGGCGCATTTTCCTAGCCGTTCAGTTTGAACCTGCATGCGGTTTATGTGGGCTGAGAAATCGGTCCAGAATCCCAGTCCGTTTCCCAGTTCTAGAGAATAAATTGAAAACGGTGCCCAGTCTTAAATAATTGGCCAAGGTTGTTTGGATACTGCCAGTTACAGCTGCAACTATATTTCACGACAAACTTAGCACTGACCTTTTGACACAACGTATAAATTACACATTCAAGGAAAATCTGCAGTATTGGGTAAAACATATGATGATAGAATCTGATCACATTACTCGATAAAGAGGTTGAATGGCGCGTGTGTTTAGGGAAGATAAATATCCATAGAAATATACACCAAGTCTTGCTTCATGCTATATTTCTTAATTACATATAACACGTACAATCCGAAAACACACTCCCATGTGTGTGAGACACAAATGGTATAAATGGAGCACTGAAACTCAGTGATGACACCAGGTGTTCCAGAGATTGGAATGCTTGTCCTGCTCGACCAGATGCACCCGCCATTAATAAATATGTATTCTATAATGTAACTGTTTGTTTGAAGCATAACGCTACTCTCGGCAATACTTCTGCTGATCGTCTTGCTTATATCTTCCTTCGATTAGCTGGTATTCCTGGACAATAACAGTGAGCGAATAAGAGTGGTTCAAACCCGACGATATTTCAGTTACGTCATGACGAGTAAGCATAATCAAGAAACAACTAACAACCCCACTGCCTCCTGAGGGGGAAAGACGGGATGTGGATGTTATCGATAAAGGTCGTTGCAGTGTCTGTGTAAATACAACATTTCTTAAAGGTCACATGCAACCAAAAAATCAAACATAATTAAAACACAATTATCACTTCTTCATGACATATAATATGCATTGCTGATTATGAAAAAACAAATAAACAAAATTATAAGCGTATAATCGCAAATCGAAAGTGCAATATTTTGTACTTGGGTTTACCTCCCTCGAAACGAAGCAGCCGGGATACCGAACCCAGTCAGAGCGGGTGGGTGTGCACTCAAGTGTAACGGCTGGTTCATTAGCAGATGCCGCCTTCACGGCTCTTTGTTTGTGTATATATAGAGATATTGGGTTTTGTAAATACATGCTCATTTTTTTGTGTGTAACATTTTGCAATCAACAGACATCATAACATGTCATGTGTTCAAGTATCAGACCTGCCTGTCTGTGTAATTACATAATGTGACAGAGACCGAACTCGGGCCATAAATCAATGCGTTTTGTTTATGGTGTATAGCCTGATTGGTGTTAAGTTCAAATTGCATGTGGTCAGGGATAGCAGCTGTGTATTGAATATTGTCATTAGCAGACAGGCAGGCAGACACACAGGTGTCAATAAAACAAGACATTGAGTTTTGTCTGTGACAACGACATATCTATATCACAGTTAGAAATTGTGTCAACGCTAAAAAAATGACATTGCTTTTAAGTATCGAACTGAGAAAGTGTCTCGGTAAGAAGAACGTGTGGTGAAATAGACAAATGAAATTATATAAACAGTTAATTTACTGTCATAACATATAAAAGCTGGCGCCTGTGAGACATCAACAAAACATTAGAAAAATAGCTCACACCAAAGCCTTCACCGAGTATTCACCCGACAACCCGCTGCCAAGCTGCGCGAACCTATTTACTTGCGCATGTGCTATGAGCGCAGCCTAGATGTTGAAACCCGTTTTCCCCAGAAAAGTCTGGGGAAAATTAGTGAAACGTTTGAACTCCGATTTCGCGCGTTTTTTTTCATCGCGTTATTTTTCAACTTTATAAGTTGAATTTGCATTTTTTGACGATTTGCTTCGGTATGTCCATACCGAAAGGTATCAGAATCTGCAAAGTTGTGTTTTACGTTGCATGTGACCTTTAAATCATGACAAGCAGAATCTAATTTGTAAAATTAGTATTTTATTGAACATTGGAAACAACACTAAGATTGATAAAACAGGAATTCAAGGCCATAAATAAATAATCAGTTCGTCAGATGACGGAAATCTTGAAATTTAACAGTCTTCTTAGATGTGAATGTCGATATAGACAATAAACAAACAAAATCGTTTGCCCTTCGAATTTGAAATGTGTTTAAGTTGACACGTTTTCTCACGCGTAAATGAAAAACAGACTTTCGGCTTCATCCGGACAAAGAATGATTACGAATGATACCGAGATGACATGATTGCCTGTGTGGCTACATATTTCCATTCAGTATTGACCATGAAATAATACGTCCACTGATTTCACAACAACAATGCACCTACTCACCGATTGTCGGACACCTTTCAGATATAACTGATCCCATCCCAAATCGTCGAAAGGCATTGATGAAACAAGCCATTTTGTTTAAAGAATTTATACATGATCATCCCTTCCACATAAACCGTCATTGGAAACTGATGTGCCTCTGAATTTGGCTTAATGGGGCACTAAGGTTCGGGTAAAGCGGCAGCCCCAGCTCTTTTGATTGAAGTTCCTTAAACACCACGTGTCTCTGTTACCTTCCACTTCAGGATGCAGATCAACCCTCCTGTTGATGATAGCAACACCATCTCGCATTTCATCTAGAACTGGACTGGACATTAGGCGCTCGGCTCTCACTTTCAGGTGTTGCTGGAAAGCACATACTCATTTGAGAACGATCAAATTGTCGTACGCTGTTTTCTAATCAAGGGCACAAAAACAAAGTCACAATCCTCACTTCTATATATATTGTTGATTTCGTTGAGTAAAATGGTAACATAACAATTTAGGTCACAATATTTGGAAAATCGAAACAAAGTTCGTATTACAGTCATATTCGACAGTGATCTACCCATTTCAACACCAGCCACTTCCTTTTGTTGATTGGTTTATTGGGTGAGATGAGTTAATGCCACTTTAAACTCTGTATATATTGTTAGCTCGTCAGCTAAATGGCGGAGGCAGTGATGCAGGTGTCAGAAGCTAACCATTTTGATGAAACCGGAAGAAGCATAGCACTACTATGGTACCTTCAAACATAAAAACATAAAGGGACACACAAGGATTCGATCCCACAATGTTAGGTGTCTGGTGTGCCACCCGCACCCTGATGTCTTTGATTCAAGTACTAGCGGTGTATATTTTGGACTTTCAAACAGTTGCTATTGAACAAACGCAGCTTTTAGAAACATTTCGGCAGGACCTCAGAAATAATCGGCAAGACAAGCGAACTCTTGACCTTTGCATCACATAACAAAAAGAACCCATGAGAAGCGTTTCCAGCGGTGAGTAAATTATAAAGCTATAGCTAAATACAGTCATTGGTCCCTTATGTAAAATCTCGTAGAAAATTATAAATAGCGTCGGCTGGAGTTGTGTCGTGGGGGATGTTTTTTTATTAAGAAATTGAAAAAAATATGTTGATAATAATAACATGAATATTTGTTACACCAGTTGATATAAATGGACATCACAATCACCATCAGTGTCTCATCCCTGACAACAGCACAGCTAATAGTAAACCGGAAATAATAGTGTAGAAATACACAATGTTCTGTCCACTTCCGTTTGCAGGTTCGACCTCATCGCAGTGCTTCTTGTTGATCCCTACGCACGACGCGTAGGCCATGACGTGCGCTATATAGTTCTGCTCGTGCACCCCATGGAACAGGTGCGCCATAGGACCCTGGGCGTATATAGCAACGTCTTCACCTCCGTGAGTTTCATACGCCAATGGGACTGCACTCGTAAAACGGTAATCCACGTCGGCTGCTGGAGAACAGAATCAAAATGGGAAAGGTTAATTTGGGAAGGTCAGGTTCGACGTCAAAGCATTTGCACTTATTTAAACATAACTGAGTGTCTGGTATCTGTGATCAAATCAAACATAACCTGTTTCATTCTGCTCATTACCCAGAATGGCCCGTGAAGGTCCGGATTAGAACAGATATTCAGCATCCCATGATTCTCGCGTGTGTGTTATGCAACATGGACGTAAGTGCCTGCGCATTTGTTTATTCAGCTCATCTAGTTGAGCCGTGCGTCCCCTGTTGCTATATTTTACTTGTTATGCATTGTAATTACCATCTTTTAACACCTATGTATGTAGCCTCTTCTAGAGGAGTTTACTATCTTTTTGTATATGAGACTCCCGTCGCTCTATCTGTTTTTATATGGCAGATATAAGCGTTTATGCCGCTCCCACCTTTAAGTATACCCCTTATTTTATCAGGGTTTTTCCTTACTACATAATTGTACAAACTATTGTCTCAATATCCACCTATATCTATTTGTAGTAGATATATTCCCCTTCACTGTACATATGCTTAGAAGTTAGTTGTAGTCGTTTATGTACCCAAGTATGAACTTTAGCACATTTCTTTGCTGGTCATAGGCTAGGTACCAGGTATTGTCCTCTGCGACGTCCGCGCGGTTACGTTATAGCTGGACGTGGCCAGGTACTCCCACACACCTGGGGAAGTCTAGACTGCTCTGTGCATATCGACCTGTTCCTAGTTGTCAATCGCCGCATCGTGGGACGACCGAAGGACCGAACTTGGGAGCTCAAGACTGGTTTTTGTGACGGTACATCTTGTTGGTACAGTAGTTGGGTCCTTATTACCCCCCACTCATTAGGTGTCACCAGTCAATATAGGGTCTGGTCCCTGAGCTAGTCTATTAATAAGGCGAGTTTACTTAGCTAGTTAGTTTGTTGTTTCTAGCGGCTTCTTGTTGTGCTTGAGGTGCAAGTTAATTCAAAACTCGGGTTGTGTGTTTGCTTACTATTCTGGATCATTTTCCGTCCAGTCTCCCTGGACAGTAGTTGGCGCCGTGACAAAAGACTAAAATGGCATCGGTCGTCAGCCTCGCTGACATGGTCCTTTTGCATGTTATCGTATTCCAGTGAGTAGATCAATGCTCATGCTGTCAATCACTGGGTTGTCTGGTTCAGACTCGACTATTTACAGGCCGTTTTGACATTGCTGGAAAATTGCTGAGTGCGGCGTCAAACAGCAAGCGAACAAACAAAACATTTAACAGAATAACGGTTTCCAGTTTTTTAATATAATTTATAGCTATCATCAAACATGGGTGTTAATATATTTTAGATGGGATCAATGTGTGTGTGCATGTGTGTGCGTGCTTGCGTACTGGTATATGTGTGTAGTTCTTTGAGTGTGCGTTCTGTGTGTTTGTTTGCGTGAGTGAGTGCGTGTATGTGAGTGAGGGTGTGTGTGTGTGGGTGGGGGGTGTTGAGTTTAGTTTAACGACGTTTTTAGAAATATAATATTCCGGGGCGGGGACACCAGAGATGGGCTTCAGACATTGTAAACATGTGGGGACTTGAACCCGGGTCTTCGGTGTGACGGGCGAACGCTTTGACCACTAGGCTACCCCACCGCACCCTGAGGGAGAAGTGGTGATGTGAATGTTCACCATGAGTACTGCTAGTCATGCCGATAAAGGTCGTTGCAGTCTCGGTGTATGTACAACATTTCTGAAATCGTGCCAAGAAAAATCTGGGGTTTCATATTGTGTAAAATTAGTGTTTTATTGAACATTGGAAACAACACTAAGGTTAACAAAATAGGAATTCTAGGCCATAGATAAATAATCATTTCGTCATATGACGGAAATCTTGAAATTGAATGATTAGAACAGATATTCAACAATCCATGATTCTTGCAAAAGCTGAAAATGGGATGTGCGGTCAGCGTCGCTGACTTGGTCCTTTTCCATGTTTCCAGTTGCGCAGATCAAAGCTCATGCTGTCAAAGAATGATTTCGAATGATACCGACATGATTTCGACATGATTGCCTCTGTGGCTACATGTTTCCATTTAGTATTGGCCATGAAATAATACGTCCACTGATTGCGCCACAACAACACACCTACTTACCGATTGTCGGACACCTTTCAGATATAACTGATCATATATCAAAATGACCCCATGAGAAGCGTTCCCAGCGCTGAATACATTATAAAGCTAAATACAGTCATTGGTCCCTTATGTAAAATCTCATAGAAAATTATAAATAGCGTCGGCTGTAATTGTGTTATTATGGGGATGTTTTTTAATTAAGAGAGAGAAAGAGATATGTTAAAAACGATAACATAGCATATTTGTTACATCACAGTTAACAGAAATGGACATCACAATCACATCATTGTCTCATCCCTGACAACACTGCTAACAGTAAACTGGAAAACATAGTGTAGAAATACACAATGTTCTGTCCACTTCCGTTTGCAGGTTCGACCTCATCACAATGCTTCTTGTTGATCCCTACGCACGACGCGTAGGCCATGACATGCGCTATATAGTTCTGCTCGTGCACCCCATGGAACAGGTGCGCCATAGGACCGTGGGCGTATATAGCAACGTCTTCACCTCCGTGAGTTTCAGAATCCAATGGAACTGCACTCGTAAAACGGTAATCCACGTCGGCTGCTGGAGAACAGAATCAAAATGGGAAAGGTTTGGGACGCCAGGTTCGACGTCAAAGCATTTGCAGTTATCCAAACATAACTGAATGTCTGGTATCTGTGAATCACATCAAACAGATCAAACATAACCTGTTTCATTCTGCTCATTACTAGCCCTGTAACGATGCATCGAGCTATCGATGGATTCCAATTGTTGAGTCTCCGATAGCAATTAACGAAAAACTATCGATGCATCGATAGTATGTGTGACTATCGATAGTTTAGTAATTGACGTCCGTTGATAATGCGCAGCGCAAAATAGAGGATGTTTGGGTGCAGACTTGCAGCTTCACTGAGTTTATGTTTTGATTGTTTACTTGATTTGGGTTACCTTTCAAGTTTCTTGTCAGTTATTAAGAAACTGAAACTACTTCAACCTGTATATACCATACATTCATTTGGGAAATGACTTCAAATGAGACAATTCAAGGAGAAAAATACACTATAGCAAAAGTATTGCAATAGTTGGTTGCAATAGATTATCGTTATCGCAATAGTTGTTTCCCCCTCAATAGTCACCCCTACTCATCACCCAGAATGACCCCTGAAAATCCGGATTAGAACAGATATTCAACAATCCATGATTCTTGTAAAAGCCGAAAATGGGATCTGCGGTCAGCGTCGCAGACTTGGTCCTTTTGCATGTTATCGTATTCCAGTTGAGTAGATCAATGCTCATGCTGTCAATCACTGGATTGTCTGGATCAGACTCGACTATTTACAGACCGCCTTTACATTGCTGGAAAAATGCTGAGTGCGGCGTCAAACAACAAGCAAACACACAAAACATTTCACAGAATAACGGTTTCAAGTTTTTGTGTAATTTTTAGCTACCATCAAACACTGTTGTATAGGATATATTAGATCTAAAATGTGTGTTTGCATGTGCGTGCGTGCGTTTTGGTATGTGAGTGTTCATGCGTAGTTCTCTGAGTGTGCGTGCGTGTGTGTTTGCGTGAGTAAGCGAGTGTGCACGTGCGTTTGTGTGAGCGAGAGAACTTCTGTGCTGTTAAAGCCACAAGCTGGATCTGGTGAGGTCACTTCCAAAATGAGCTGTGGTGTCCGTCCAGAGTTATTTTTCCAGGGATAATCAAAAATGGTTACTTACTTGTGTTCACATCAGTGAGGTTCTCGCGGACCACAGGGCCGTTCCCATATCCCAGGGTGGTGTAGGGCATCATGTCTAAGGGGTCCCTGTAGTTCGGCACACGGTTCACCTTGTCTGGTCAATGTAACATATACTATTATTCCAAGCTTCGATGAAGCATTTCCTTATATATTTGAAATATGCTTTGGATATACATGTATATATAGTTAGTCTGTTTGCAGTGAAAACGTACCGATGAATTTGACTTTAAACAAGAAAGTAAATCGAATAAAGTGAAATTAAGATGATTCTGCATTCGTACCAAACTACGATGATTCTGCATTCGTATCGGGATGAGAGAGAGATTCGTACCGCGATGGTTCTGTATTCGTACAGTGATGATTCTGTATTCGTACTGCGATGATTTTGCGATATTTCTTTATTCGTATTGCCTTCATTCTGGATTCGTACCGGAATGATTCTGCATTTGTTGACAGTTAATTACACAACCGAGTCTCAGTAGGAGACAGTCTTTCATTACCTTCAGAACAGATCGCCATTAATAGAATTTGACACACGACACCTACCAAGGATATTGTTGCCTCTTGAGGGGTAGCCGCCGATTGTGAAGACGTGGGAGTGGTCGGCGCTGACGACGACGAGAGTGTCTTTGTCACTGATTACGTCCATGGTGGCCTGGACGGCTTCGTGGAGGGCCTTCACCTCGTGCAGCGCGCGTTTGGCGTAGGTCTCGTGGTGACCATGATCAATACGACCGGCTGAAACAGTGAGTGAGTTGATTAATGTCACTTTAATTAGCACACAATACTTCACAGGTGCCCCCTAGGCGCGCCCCATTGTTATAATCGACAGTTCGAATCCCAGATGTGCCCTGTTTCCAGCTTTGCTAACACCATGCCCTATGTAAAAGTCTAGTGTTCCATCCTTGTCATTCAAATTGTCTGTTTCTTTGCGAAAATGTGATTGGGCTATCGCGCATATCCACAGTCCAATCAGAAACCGTCTTACAAAATCAAATCTGCCTCTCGGAAACCTGGTCGTTGCTGTGACTACAGCCATTGTCTCTCGACTTTGGTCTTAGATTATTCCAAAAATACGCTGAGACAAATATCTTCAATGTGGTTCAAAGTTTTCAATTAACTCCCCTAAGTATGTATTTTTAGTTATTTAAGCGGAAACTGTTATGGATAAAATATGAAATAATGCTGTTATTTAATCGATCAGTACCCTGTTGCTCTAAGCCATCATACACCCACGACGATCGTCAGCCTCTATTATGTATAGGCTGGCTGGCTGAGTATGGTGTTACGCCGTTTGTAGCAATATTCCAGCAATATCACGGCGGGGGACACCAGAAATGGGCTTCACAAGTTGTACCCATTTGAGGAATCGAACCCGGGCCTTCGGCGTGACGAGCGAACGCTTTAACCACTAGGCTACCCCACCGCCTCTATTAAGGTATAGGAGTTACGATCGCTTTGTGCAACGGCCCCAGGTCAGCTGCTATGGTAGTCACCTTTATTAAGAACAGAAATCTTATTGGATACAGCATTTCCATCACAAGGGACACAACCAATGTTCTACACGGGGTGGTATCACAATCTAACCAGAAAACTTGGGGGGTAAGGTTTGAAACTGGTCCCTGGTAGAGACGGCTAGATATTCTAGCCTGGATAAGATTTCCTCGCAGGCCTGTAATAAGCGCCAGGTCTCTAAGATGCGCCGATGGAAAAGCAGCTCACTAACAATTACGGAAGTCCGGGGTATTCCCGTGAAGTAGAATTTTGTTATTACAGTATTATCTCCTTGATGTTGTGCCGGTGTTGCTATGAGGAATTAAGTCACTGGGTACTGTAAAATTCTGAACTATGTGGTGAAATATGATTTGAATTTACTGAGTTCATTTAGTGAGTGATTGAAACTGATTCAGTGTCATACAGTACACTTACATATGTTACATATTGTATAAATACCATCAAATTACAAGAGGCAGTATCATTTTCACAATGGCTCGTGCTCAGTTACGATAGTTCCATTGTTTCCTGATGCCGCCTGGAAAGGATGTTACTTTCATTTTGCCCAGTTTGTGTGGAGAAAAACACAGAACATCATAACACCAACGGGCCCAGAACAAACAACAACTTGGAGGGCTGGCATGGCAGATTAAAGAAGATCGTTGGAAAGGCCCACCTCAACGTTTTCGAGATGATGAAATTCCTGTTGGACGAGCAAAAAATTAACAGTATACAACTGTTCTAAGTGTCGTTCAAACAAACTCACGCACTCAGCGATTTTTCTTTCCACACATGTTATTAACTCACATTCTACCAGCAGAAAGAATCCTTTGTCGTTCTTTTTCAGGATCTGAATGGCTTTCGTCGTCATCTCGGCCAGAGACGGTTCCCCGTCACCAGAAGAATTGCGATCTATATCGTACTGCATGTGGGAGGGCTGGAACAGACCTGAAACACCAGTTTAGGATGATACGTAGATACGCAAATAGCGACAGCCGGCGAAATGGAAACTAAGAGCATACAAACAGAAACAATGGGTGGCGTGGGTATAATTCTTCCAAGTTACAGTGTAGCCTAATTGGCTTGCGCAGTATATTACACTGATAAAACTCTCACTGAAAGGCAATCAGTGAGTGAGTTGATTTTTACGCCGGTTTTAGCAATATTCCAACAATATCACGGCGGGGGACTTCACACATTGTACCTATGTGCGGAATCGAACCCGGATCTTTGGTTTGACGTGCGAACCCTTTAAACACTAGGCGACCCCATCGCCCCTCTGAGAACAAAACTCACGGAAAAGCAAAAAATATAATAAAAAATAAAATATAAAATGTTACAAAGATATTTTCTGACTAAATATTCCGTGATGATTATGAGATGGTCCCCGCCAGAATGCTCACCAAGCAGGTAATCTGTCTTGGCGGGATTCACGGAGTCGAACTGCGCCTTGTTCCATACATACGTTGCATTCTTGTCACCTTTGCTGTTTTTCCAATCCTGCAAATAGTCACACATGTAACCGTGCCTAAAAACGTAGGCGCATTCAATTTGTATGTCTTTGACTTATTTCTTCCCGATATGGATGTACGGATGGCCCAGTCTCCTAAGTCTCTATACAGAGTTGCGCCCCTTAGCCAAACCAGAAGTAAGGTCGCGGCTTCGAATTACAGATTCGTCCGGATTATGTTTTTTGGTTCGTCAGAAAAAATGTCCGTGCTCGAGGGTTTCTGCAAGGTGAACTTCTAACACCCGCATTATTTCGGGATTTCCTCCCCTGTCCGGCAGGCACATCTTGACTCACACTATAACCCGAGTATTGTTAATCGAGAGTGAGTGAGTGGTTTTAATAGCGATAGTAATGATAGCAACAGTTAATGGATATATTTTGTAACATTTATTATATTTCTGGTGAATGGCCCCAACTACCCCCCCCTCTCAAAAAGATGTATCCGTCCCTGTAACTCAGCCTGTAAGGCAATGCTATGATGACGGCGTCGAGTTAGGCAAATGGTATTATATTCACCTGATACAGAATAAAGGGACGGATTTGATTCCCAATATGAACCTCAAACAGGATGCGAAATCAAGGACACGATTTCTCCTCGTAGGTCGTCACAGTGTCAACTCTTATTCACTACTAACGATGTGTACCTGACCTGTTTGGACACGCTGAGTGGGCCAGTAGCTCAATAGTCATCTCAAATCAACCCTACACGTGAGATGGCATAGCTTACATATGGGGCGCTAACAAGATCTACCGTCTCACTTGACCAACATTGGAACCCCTCAACATACACTTCAGTCAACAACACTGAATTGGCGTGTCAGTCCGGTGTTTTGTATCTCACATTGTGTGGACATCTTCTTTTGATATTGGAGGGATTTGAACCTATATGACTGACCCTTACAAAGGTTTAAAAAAGTATTCAATCCTAATACTGACACGTTCGTGTCTTATTAAAGTGACATTATTCATATATTTCAACATACACAACATTGGATTTTTTCAGGCAATGGTAAAGGTTTGGCCCAATAATCAGGTCAGTAGGTCGAAACATATATCCATAGGATTTCCAATTTGTAAAGCAAAATTTGGTTTGAACTTTTTCATAGTAATGATAGCGACAGTTAATGGATATATTTTGGAACATTTACTAATAGCTTACTAGTTTACTCCTGGTGGATCGAAAAAACCTTTTAACATGCGCACACGCACACACACCTTCTCAACGCACCCACCCCCGCCCTTCTGTGGAAACAATCCCAAAACACCAGGTGTGCACTTAGTTTTGTGCGTCAGTTTACATTGCCTTATGTCCCACTCTGCTGAGAGTGAGTGAGTTGCTTTAGCAATACTCAACATGTATCACCAGGAACTACAGGTATGAAATGGTACCAATGGGTTAAGCCAACGTTTTGGTAACTCTGCGCTGACACACTCTTTTCATGACGAGCAAATGTGTGAAACATATGGTTACCCTAACACCTGCGCAGAGGGTTAACTAAATACACGGTAAAGGTAACAACACGGTCACTATACTGACACGTGCCCAGGCAACCTGAGACCTTCACATGCATATAAAGTGTAGAACTCTTTCATGCAACGTCCACCATTGGAATAGATTATTAAAGACGGCTTTTGAGTAACTATTTTTCTGAATAAAGGTTAAGAGGCGGATTAGATTACATTTCATGTGCGAAATCCACGTTAGCCCGAAACTTCACCTGCCATAGGTTCCCAATTGCGCAGATCGATGCTCATGCTGTTGATCACTGGATTGTCTGGTCCAGACTCGATTACTAGTATCTACAGACCGCCGCCATATAGCTGGAATATTGCTGCATGTGGCGTAAAACTAAACTCACTCAATCACTCACTCACCGAAACTTCAGATCCTGATACAAATATACCCAAACAGCCCATGCAAGTCTAGATTTCCACTGTTTCAGGAAGGTCTCTGGGCTCCTTTTCATTATGTTTAATGATTATTACTTATGAATCATTTTTTTCTGTAAAATATGTTCATTTTAGAAGAGTTGTTAGTCTACGAAACGCTTTACAGCGTTGGGAACCAGCCGTGAGGCTTCTTACATTAATGAGGTCACGTCCATCAGCTCGCTGTTTGGAGTCGATTTCTCCTGTTTCCGGGTCTGTCTGGTTGTTGAGTAGAAAGTAGCGGCGTCCCCCTCCCATCACCACCTGGAACACAGGTGTCTCACATGTCAAGCTTAAGGTCAGCATCACATAGGAATTAGTGGGGCTGAAAGGTATTGCATTGTGAGACCTTGTTATTTCGTAACTCTCTGCCCGCTTGGATAAAATCACATTTGAAAAAGATTCGAGGCGATACATTCGACGTGCTATGAAAACGTTCAGCCAGCGTGAAGATCCGGTTAAAATTGGTTTTCGGCAATCCATACTTGTCGCCATATCGAACCCGGATCTTCACGCTGTTAAGAGACCCCTTATCTCCTGTGCAACTGCTTTAACAAGGCCGTTCCGTGATGATTAAATTGGGTCTTCAGTAACCCATGCTTGTCGTTAGAGACGACTGATAGGTTCGGGTTGTCAGGCTCGCTGAAAAGGCTCGTGTCTAAAAAATGGGAAGTTCTGAATGGAGATAATAACGGCCGCGCTATGAAATTGTAGAGGATACGATATAAACACTGACGTTATGGACACGCTCGCCTCCTTCCCTCACTATCTCACTCACTCACTCACTCACTCACACACTCATCGCTAAACAAATAACTCACACAATAACACCCAATAACACACTAACACTAACTACCCGTCACTCCAAAGTCCAAAGACCTATTACGCAGTGTGCGAAATAGCCACTGGCCCGCTAGCCCGTGGCTAGTAAAATTCCAGTCGGGCCAGTAAATCGCCACAGTCACTGGCCCGACTGGCTAGTGCATTTTCACGAGGTCATTTGTTTTTGATGGTATTTTACCTTTTTGTAATCTTTTGCTTAGTTTCTACATTCAAATTTCGGGCTAGTGAATTATTTTGTGAACTAGTAACGTTCAGGCATAGCTACTCTGACTGGCTAGCCAAATTTGGAAACTACAATGTATTTCGCACACAGCTTATTAGCGATCCGTGTGAGTTTCCTCCTACGAGGGGCGGTGGGGTAGCCTAGTGGTCAAAGCGTTGGCTCGTCACGCCGAAGACCCGGGTTCGAATCCCCACATGGGTACAATGTGTGAAGCCCATTTCTGGTGTCCCCCGCCGTGATGTTGCTGGAATAATGCTAAAAGCGGCGTAAAACCAAACTCAGTCAGTCAGTCCTCCTACGATATATGTTTGCGAATGGAGGTCGTAAATATCGGCTCGTTTTCCCGGTATTCACACAGGGAAGTATCACAACGGATCCTAATGACATAGCAGCACGGTAACACGTGTTACCTGAAGGTCAAGGTTATCCACAAGCTGTTGCGCAATGTCCTTGCACCTCCCCCGTGACGTTACTCTTGTTGGTGTCGACGTCACCCTCCCAGTCTCTCTCTGCGGAGTGGGCGTATCCGGCTGCAGGTGTGGCGTGCGTTACGCGGGCAGTTGTCACAAGTCCAGCTGCCTTTCCTGTAAAACACACATTAAACTGTCATTTGTTATTTGACGTATTAGGGACGGCGATGTAGCCTTGTGGTTAAAGCGTTTGCTCGTCACGTAGAAAACCCGGGTTCCATTTCTCACAAGTTCATTTCTGAAGTTCATTTCTGGTGTCCCCCGCCGTGATATTGCTGGAATATTGCTAGAGGCGGCGTAAAACAATACTCACCCACTAACTATGGACGAATTAGGGTGACGGGATAGAATAGTAGCTAAAAAAAGGGTTAGTTCAATAACCCATCTTAAGTTCCCCACTCATGTTCCACCTGTCCATTTCTAGTATACCCTCCATCTATATAGCTAAAAGCGGCGTAAAACCTTCAGGAAATAACAAATCAGTGCAAGAATGCGATTTATTATCCAGGGTTCTCATCGCATATACAGTGAGCCCGGGAACTTGTCTTTTGCACAGATACATTTACATATATCCAAACGGGTTGCCCAGGCATGTTCACACAAAGCAGATATAAGTGATTCCCTGAGAGACTATATAATTGTGTTAGTTATAATGTGTTAGTTATTGTCTGATTTTCGTCGGGGCAGAGCTAGATTCAAATGGAAGAAAATATAGTTGACCTTTGCGGCAAAAATATTGTCTTTTTAATGCAAACATACCTTCATCTAGCAACCATTTGATGAAACGTACCTTCATCTAGCGACCATTTGAGGAAACGTATCTTCATCTAGCGACCATTTGAGGAAACGTATCTTCATCTAGCGACCATTTGAGGGAACGTACCTTCATCCAGCGACCATTTGAGGGAACGTACCTTCATCTAGCGACCATTTGAGGAACGTACCTTCATCCAGCGACCATTTGAGGAACGTACCTTTATCTAGCGACCATTTGAGAGAACGTACCTTCATCTAGCGACCATTTGAGGGAACGTACCTTCATCCAGCGACCATTTGAGGAACGTACCTTCATCTAGCGACCATTTGAGGAAACGTACCTTCATCCAGCGACCATTTGAGGGAACGTACGTATTTGAGGAAACGTACCTTCATCCAGCGACCATTTGAGGATAGATGTCACTTTGCCAGCATCCTGTGCTTCACAGTCTTTCCTCGCCACACTCTCGGCGACCCCGAGAGTTCCTAAGTTGGCCTTGATCCCACACAGGAAGGCTGTGGCTGTTCCTGCTGAGTCAGCTGTTTGGCGATCCACGTTATATGTCTGAAAACATAGCCAGACATGGGTTTGTGATCAGCGTCACCTACAACCGGTGTTTGGGAAAAGGCATCTACGCTAACGAGAACTTTGAACAATAATAAGTTTAGCTATATTGCAGCTAAGGGAAACCAACGAGGGCTAACGGAAAGTACACGTGAAAAAGAAACGTCTCATTTAACGGAAACCAACGAGGGCTAACGGATACCACTCGGGAAAAAGAAATGTCTCAGCTAACGAAGACCAACGAGAGCTAACGGATAGTACACGGGAAAATTAAATGTCTCATTCTCGCGATTTCGTGATTTTGTGGTTGATCTGACAAGTCGAGGTTGTGAGTTTACGCGATTTTATAACATGTTGCCGACTTTTGACTAAACGTGCCAAGTACAAAATAGCTCGTTACCAAAGGTCGAGCTCTCGAGAATGTCCCTTACAATATTCCATACCCACTCGCAATGGATGTATGGATGTACAAGCAGTATCAGTAATTTGGGAGGGTGGAGAGATTAGTGTACCCTGTTTCCGTGGGAACACGGAAGATTCTCATCAATCAAGCCGGGGCGGTGAGGTAGCCTAGTGGTTAAAGCGTTTGCTCGTCACGCCGAAGACCCGGGTTCGATGTGTGAATGGGTACAATGTGTGAAGCCCATTTCTGGTGTCCCCCGGCGTGATGTTGTAGAATATTGCCAAAAGCTGCCTACAAAAGCGGCCTAAAAACAGAACTCACGCATGTTATCAAACGCTTTCCCTGTAACTTTTCTCGTCATTGTCTTTGCCTTCCTACTGTAATCTGCGTTTTTTCGGATTGGCAACATGCGTTTCTATTGTGGGGAAGTATTATCGGGTTTAGATACCAAAACGTTTCACAAGAGTTTTGTGTTTCACTAATGATGTTTCATTTTGACCTTCAACTGTTTGTCGGTTGATCCACCTGACTGGCGCCTGGTTCACTGTCTACACATTGTGTGTCGCTTGCGTGTCGTATCACCATGAGTGAGAATGAGCGTTACTGAGTCAATAAAGGAGTTACTCGTCAGGTATGACTAATTTCAATCATGTGTTGTGCATGCATTGTGCCATTGTGATGTGAAAAGGCCTGGTAAGGTATCACTTACTAAAGCCATGGGTGACGCACACAACGCGTTAAACTAGAAATATAAGTGACGTTGGGTTTTACCCCTTTCTTGCAAGGTATTAAAGTTGTATTACGTCCCTGTTTGCAACATTCACGATGTCTGTAAATAGTCTGGGCCAGACGAACCAGTGATTGAAAATCTGAGCAAAAATAACCGACTGTCACTCATTCGTCCATTCGATCATCGTTATTTGTTCCTACGGAGAACAACGGCTTTAGGGATATACTCTGCATACAACAACACTCGCCACTGGGACACCAACAGCACTTAAGCATCGTCACTAGGACACCAACAACACTTAGGTAACGTCACTGGGGCACCAACAACACTTAGGTAACGTCACTTGGACACCAACAACACTTAGGTATCGTCACTTGGACACCAACAACACTTAGGTAACGTCACTTGGACACCAACAACACTCAGGCATCGTCATTTGGATACCAACAACAAGGCATCGTCACAGGCATCGTCATCGTCACTGGGACACCAACAACATTCCGGCATCGTCACGGGCACCAACAAAACTTCACTTGGACACCACCAACAACACTCAGGCATCGTCACTAGGACACCAACAACACTTAGGCACCGTCACTGGGGCACCAACAACACTTCACTTGGACACCAACAACATTCAGGCATCGTCACTGGGACACCAACAACACTTAGGTTACGTCATTAGGACACCAACATCACTTAGGTATCGTCACTTGGACAGCAACAACACGTAGGCATCGCCACTAGGACACCAACATCACTTAGGCATCGTCACTTGGACACCAACATCACTTAGGCATCGTCACTGGGGCACCAACATCACTTAGGCATCGTCACTAGGACACCAACATCACTTAGGCATCGTCACTTAGACACCAATCATCACTTAGGTAACGTCACTTGGACACCAGCATCACTTAGGTAACGTCACTTGGACACCAACAACACTTAGGTATCGTTATTGGGACACCGACAGCACTCAGACATCGCAACTGGGACACCGACAGCACTCAGACATCGTCACTGGGACACCGACAGGGCACTCAGACATCGTAACTGGGACACCGACAGCACTCAGACATCGTCACTGGGACACCGACAGCACTCAGACATCGTAACTGGGACACCGATAGCACTTAAACATCGTAACTGGGACACCGACAGCACTCAGACATCGTCACTGGGACACCGACAGCACTCAGACATCGTCACTGGGACACCGACAGCACTTAAACATCGTCACTGGGACACCAACAGCACTCAGACATCGTCACTGGGACACCAACAGCACTCAGGCATCACCACTAAGACACCAACAACACTTAGGCATCACCACTAAGACACCAACAACACTCAGGCATCACCACTAAGACACCAACAACACTCAGGCATCACCACTAAGACACAAACAACACATCATCACCACTAAGACACCAACAACACTCAGGCATCACCACTAAGACACCAACAACACTCAGGCATCACCACTAAGACACCAACAACACTCAGGCATCACCACTAAGACACCACAACAGGCATCACCACTAAGACACCAACAACACTCAGGCATCACCACTAAGACACCAACAACACTCAGGCAGGCATCACCACTAAGACACCAACAACACTCAGGCATCACCACTAAGACACCAACAACACTCAAGGCATCATCACCACTAAGACACCAACAACACTCAGGCATCACCACTAAGACACCAACAACACTCAGGCATCACCACTAAGACACCAACAACACTCAGGCATCACCACTAAGACACCAACAACACTCAGGCATCACCACTAAGACACCAACAACACTCAGGCATCACCACTAAGACACCAACAACACTCAGGCATCACCACTAAGACACCAACAACACTCAAGGCATCACCACTAAGACACCAACAACACTCAGGCATCACCACTAAGACACCAACAACACTCAGGCATCACCACTAAGACACCAACAACACTCAGGCATCACCACTAAGACACCAACAACACTCAGGCATCACCACTAAGACACTCAGGCATCACCACTAAGACACCAGGCACTCAGGCATCACCACTAAGACACCAACAACACTCAGGCATCACCACTAAGACACCAACAACACTCAGGCATCACCACAACACTCAGGCACACCACACCAACACTCAGGCATCACCACTAAGACACCAACAACACTCAGGCATCACCACTAAGACACCAACAACACTCAGGCATCACCACTAAGACACCAACAACACTCAGGCATCACCACTAAGACACCAACAACACTCAGGCATCAACACTAAGACATCAACCACTAAGCACACCACCAACAACACTCAGGCATCACCACACCAACAACAGATCATCACCAAGACACCAACACTCAGGCATCACCACTAAGACACCAACAACACTCAGGCATCACCACTAAGACACCAACAACACTCTCATCACCACTAAGACACCAACAACACTCAGGCATCACCACTAAGACACCAACAACAGGCATCTCAGGCATCACCACTAAGACACCAACAACACTCAGGCATCACCACTAAGACACCAACAGCACTCAAGACTAAGACACCAACAACACTCAGGCATCACCACTAAGACACCAACAACACTCAGGCATCACCACTAAGACACCAACAACACTCAGGCATCACCACTAAGACACCAACAACACTCAGGCATCACCACTAAGACACCAACAACACTCAGGCATCACCACTAAGACACAACAACAACCACTCAGGCATCACCACTAAGACACCAACAACACACCAACAACACTCACTCAGGCATCACCACTAAGACACCAACAACACTCAGGCATCACCACTAAGACACCAACACCAGGCAACACTCAGGCATCACCACTAAGACACCAACAACACTCAGGCATCACCACTAAGACACCAACAACACTCAGGCATCACCACTAAGCATCACCACTAAGACACCAACAACACTCAGGCATCACCACTAAGACACCAACAACACTCAGTCATCACCACTAAGACACCAACAACACTCAGGCATCACCACTAAGACACCAACAACACTCAGGCATCACCACTAAGACACCAACAACACTCAGGCATCACCACTAAGACACCAACAACACTCAGGCATCACCACTAAGACACCAACAACACTCAGGCATCACCACTAAGACACCAACAACACTCAGGCATCACCACTAAGACACCAACAACACTCAGGCATCACCACTAAGACACCAACAACACTCAGGCATCACCACTAAGACACCAACAACACTCAGGCATCACCACTAAGACACCAACAACACTCAGGCATCGTCACTAGGACACAAACAGCACTTAGGCATCACGATTAATCAGAATGAAACATAGTTTTTTATCAACTATCAGAACGAATACTCGGACCCTAATTTTCACAAATATATTTAACTTTTCCCAAGCCTTTCAAGATTCCTGCTCAGCCTGTTGAAGGAAGTGATGGTTATGACTTGTGAAAATATCTTTTTCTTTTCTGTTTTTTCTCAACCGAAAATTCAATTCATTTTTTCTTTAAATCTATATACCAAGTAATCAAATAACTAAAGCAGAAAGAAACCTTCACAAACCTTAGACAGTCCAACATTGGGGAATTTCTCAAAAGACAGAATCTTCTCTTCCCCCGTCTGCCCTTCGGTCTGGCCCGTGTATATTCTCCCGGCCGTTACAGATGACACGCCCATTCCATCACCCAGGAAGAAGATAACGTTCTTGGCAACGTTGGTGTTCGGCTTAAGTTGGAGGGCTTCCGTCAGCGTCTTCTGCGCCATCGTCACCCATGCTTCCTTATCTGACCACGGTAAGAATTGTATATTATATTTCCGAAACAGACAATCGTTGCGAAAAGAACTTCCAACAGGATCTTGCTTCGGTTCTTGATAAACATGTGAGTAAATGAATGTCGTTTTACGCCGCAATCAAAAACATTGTAGTACATGTAAATGATCGAGCCTGGGCTAGACAATCCAGTGATTGATAGAATGACCAATGACCCTCGGTGTGTAACATCAGACAACCAATATGATCCAACAATATGAGTGAGTGAGTGAGTGTAGTTTTACGCCGCTTTTAGCAATATTCCAACAACATCACGGCGGGGGACACCAGAAATGGGCTTAATACATTTTACCCATGTGGGGAATCGATGGCTTGACGAGCGAACGCTTTAACCACTAGGCTACTTCACCGCCCCTTCAAACAATATGATCTACAGATCCTCATTTCATTCGGCGTTCATGTCAAGCTTAATGTGTTGGGCACCCGTTATATTCCGTAATCAGTACTTGTGCCACTTCGGTGTAAAACGGGGCCATGGTGTAGTTCAACTGTTGGGCCTTCGTTCGCCACACCGAATGCACGGGTTTGATTCCAATATGGGCCCGATGTATGAAGACGATTTCGGGTGTTATTTCAAAGAGTGGAGTAAATCCCCGCTCACTCACTCACACTGCCCCGTACGTATGCGCTGTATATTTATGCAACCTTATATGTATCTACATGGCTTACGACAGCACCGAAAAATATGATTGAATTTAGAGGGGAAATGATGTTTGTTTTACAGTAAGGTGAAATGAAAAAATACCCCAAGATTTTTATTAGTCAAAAATTAAATATTTGTATGATTCTTAGAAAAAATCTTTCTTTTCAGAACATCAACCAAATTTCTTTCGTTATCTCTATTTTAAACTGTCCTAACTAGCGGTAATACTTGAAAGTTGAATGTCTTTACTATTTTTCCGTCCATCTACATAGAAATTCAGGCCAAATGTTTTGTAAACCGACTCATCAAAAATAAAAGGCGTGGAGGACCGACTCACGATCAAGTCGCCCACTGTAACACAATCGACTTTCTGTGTTGACATAAATAGTTATGCAGATATCAACAAACAACCTACCCGCAGTCGCCACAGATAAGGTTGCCCACACAGTCAACAGAACAGCCGGTACCCGCACCATGGTTGAGATACGTTCTGTAAACAAAAGAGCATTAGTGTGCTTGTCGGGATTAATATGATATTTTCTGGTGGATCATTTTGTACGTTTGCTCACAATATTTTGTGAAACAAGCCATAAGAAATGTATTATCTGTTCGTCTGTGTGTTCTTTGGTTGTCTTAATAAAAGAATAGAAAATCATAAATTTGACTGACTGACTGACTGAGTTTGGTTTTACGCCGCTTTTAGCAATATTCCAGCAATATCACGGCGGGGGACACCAGAAATGGGCTTCACTCATTGTACCCTAGACTAAGGCTTAGTCTCTGAATATATTTAATTTTGATAGTAACAAACAAGCCCATTTATATTGAAAAGGAGCCCTAGGGAGACCAGAGATTCTGAACCTGAGGAAATCTAGACTTGCTTTATTTAGGGCTTTAGCACAGCAGAGAGGGCTTGGCAGTAGGGAAATTAATGTGGTTCAGGGACTGTGAGACAGACTAATTGTACCCATGTGGGGATTCGAACCCGGGTCTTCGGCGTGACGAGCCAACGCTTTAACCACTAGACTACCCCACAGCGTATATTTGAGAAAGTGTTTATACAAGTACAACATCTGTGTAAATGACTACAACTAAGTAAATCCTACTCCATCTTTGGAATTTCTACCAAGAGATATTATATCGTGGCAGCAATATCTAGAATTAGGACAAAATTCTGTAAGCGTTTGCTTGGAGCAAGACTATATTTGTCTCTGAGAATATTTTTTTTATATAATTTTTTAAAAACAAAGAACTCCTCCTATATTGAACAAGTGCCCCAATGAGGTGTTTGATTCGGAACCGTAAAAATCTAAATCTGCGTTACAGTAAGGCTGGGCAGAACAGAAAAAGGATGGTTCAGGCACTGTGAGACAGACCAAGGCGATGTCGAAAATGCGTTAACACTAGAAAATGTCTCTCACTAGCTGTAACAAAAAATCAAACGTTGTCACAATACGCCCTCGGAGTTATTTCACAATATTATATGCTCCTTGCATACCAAATAGTATCGCCATGATAGATGAAGAAATGACCGAGTAATAGGCAAAAATCTCATTTTCAATATGGCTGGCGTGGCGGGCATGTTTGACTTGGGATCGGAGTTTTCTAGAGACATTTAGAGTCATCATGGATGGAATCATTTGTACAAAGTTTCATTTTCATGAGGCTGCTAGTTGTCCAAATTTGCAAAATGTGTACAGTGACGAAGGACAAAGCGAAACGACAAAAGCTTGAGTCAGGTGAGCTAAATATTTTCGTTGAAAATAGTTCTTTTTATCAACATAAATATTAGTGTACAAACATCAGATACGACTACAATATAATCTCTGTTAGGTGTGAGTGAGCCAGTGATCAACAGCATGAGCATCGATTTGCGCAATTGGGAACCGATGACATGTGTCAACCAAGTCAGCGAGCCTGACCACCCGATCCCGTTAGTCGCCTCACAAGCATGGGTTACTGAAGATCAATTCTAACCCGGACCTTCACAGGTATCTCTGTTAGGAAATGGCAGCGGATCATGTGTGCATTCAGAACCTGGAGTACCAGGCAAGGTAACAACAAATACCACCTTATACCGTCTTTGGTACAACACGACCTGGGATCGAACCTCCAACAATCCGCTCTGCGAGCACATGCTCTCTCTGCCAGACCTCGGAGCGGTCAAACGTGTAACTAGTCCGATAATACTGATTGATTTATTCCGACGTTCCACGGTACAGGTCATGTAATAATAACGGGGTACAGCGTTGGTGGGGTAGCCGTGTGGTTAATGCGTTCGCTCGTCACGCCGAAGACCTGGGTTCGATTCCACACATAGGTACAATATGTGAATCCCAATTCTGGGGTCCCCTGCTGGAATATGCTCCCAACGATATCGCGGAATATTGCTAATGGCGGCGTAAAACCAAACTCACTCACTAACTCATTATAATAAGCGCCCAGTTTTTTTCCACAGCACATATATAGTGGGAAATACCTTACAATATTTCTAGAAATTTACTATCCGGTGTTCATGTGTATGGTCATAATAACATAACAAATAAATTAAAATTTATTCGAAAACCGTCAAGCTTGTATGATGAAATAATATGTAGTGGTCAAGAGGCGTTATTGATATAATAACATAACGGAGAGCGGAAATAAATTAAAATTGATGGCGCTCGAAAACCAACAAGGACTGGTCGGCTCGGAGTCAGTATAATGTGTCTGAGTGTCATGATGCGGCAAAATAATATAGCTTCAGTTTAGTAGTGATATATTATCAAGAGGCGTTATTGATATCCGACGGTGTATATACATGGATATGTAAATGATATTTTAAGGTTATGATAACCTTATTTCCCAATTTAGATGGCATCAATAAAGAAGAATGGTCCATCATGATACAGTCTTGCACTTGACAGGTGTAGTGTTGTTTACATACATTCCTATATGTTCAATATTATTTATACATTAACGTTGTTGGTCATGTTAACAGAGATGCGCTGGAATCTCATTTCCAAATGCGGCCATTTTGAATTATTTTCGGTGGACCCAAAGCTTAAACTATTTAGAATATCATAACATCGTTTCATGCTTTTTCAAATTACATATTTTTCACGGAAAGCAAAAATGACTTTATAGCTAGTCCCAAGATATTGTTCACAATCTTCATAATTTGCGTCTGAAAATTGGGTTCAGTTCAAATGAAGAATTAACATATTGTTTTAATATAAGGAATTTGGTCCTCTGACCCGGACATTATAATAAACATGTGTTTATGTGTTTATATAACACAATCAAATAGTGATGCGACAAAGACGTTCGTGAAATAATGTACTAACCTGTCAGGTTGAAACCCTACAGCCTCGCTTCCACACCCGCCCGTTCTGAGCTTCACACCCGACCGTTGAGGCTTACTAACGTATCACGTGAATATTGTACTTGGAGGTACACGTGGTGGGTCAAATGTCCGTCACTGATGGTTCAAATAAAGAAGTGGACATGCAATAATATTGACTGGCTGAGTTTGTTTGCCGAACAAGGCGTCCCTGGAATCCGACTCTTATGAAAACAAGGTCAAATTACAAATCTGCTCCCCCACCATCCCCAACCCCCTCAACGACCCAAACTGCAACCCCAACCACTTCTGAGTGTGTGCCTGGATACTGAATAGATCTAGTTGGACGTTACATGGTGTTAAAGGTACTGTGGAACCCTTTATAACGGACATATATAGAGCCCTTCAATTTCAGTCGCTTCTTGTGAATTTGGATGTTGACAGTGTGTGAAATATGTAAATATAGGAGATAACAGACTGTGAGGAGCATTGGTTCGTCATGTTTGAATTATGTTATTAACACTATGTTATGCGGGGTAGTTTTGTGATCAAAGCCTCAACTCGTCACGCTTATCACTACTGATGTGTTCCTCACGACAGAGACCATAGCAAGGCATTCATCGTGTGTCCCGTCATGATTTGGCTGGATTGTTGCTGGAGCGGCGCTCTCACTCACTCACTCACCATGGTGAGCATTAATTTCACTCAATGTTTGAAGACAATTTTGCTGCAGTGGACAGACAATATTGCATTCAGCAATATTTCAGCTCTATGGCGGCGGTCTGTAAATAATCGAGTCTGGACCAGACAATCCAGTGATCAATAGCATGAGCATCGATCTATACAATTGGCATACAATGACATGTGTCAACCAAGTCAGCGAGCCTGACCCCCGATCCCGTTAGTCGCCTCTTACGACAAGCATGGGATACTGAAGATCAATTCTAACCCGGACCTTCTGTGTCTGAGAAGTATCCTTGTTAAACCTGCGGAATGGCAACTCATTCAGTCTACACTGTAAAGGTGGCATTAGTCCGGGCTAATAAAAACACACACACATTCATACACGCACGTACACACGCACGTCCGCACGCACTCACGTACACACACTCACTGGCAGGATTATTGTTGAAAGTGGCGTAAACTCACTCAACTCTCTGAATCACTGACAGTTGTGAACACTGTAAAAAACGTAAGCAGGGTTTCGAGGAAATCTCGCGAGACAGGTAACATCACCTTTGTGTCTGGATGGCCGACATTAACATTGACGTGCCGTACTTAAAGCAATATTCAACATTGGAAACAGGACAGTTCGGATGCATACAACTTCCCTCGGGTCCAATCGGCTTATTCCTGTCAACGTTTAAAGCCTCGGACGGCAATTGAGTATTGATATTACATACTTCCACCGTAATCTATGGATCCTATTCTTCCGCATCAAGTTCGTTTTTGAACAGCTGAATTTACACAAATCAGTAAAAATCTATGCATGAGCTTGGTGCTGCGTCAAGCAGTTGCCATCAAAGCAATTTCCGAGATGACCTTTAAGGGACGAGCACAGCATAAAGAAGACATTGTATATGTGTGCATGTGGTGAGTCATGTCGTGGGCATCCTTCCATGTGGTGTAAGACAGTGTGTCATGTCGTGGGCATCCTTCCATGTGGTGTAAGACAGTGTGCCATGTCGTGGGCATCCTGCCATGTGGTGTAATACAGTGTGTCATGTCGTGGGCATCCTGCCATGTGGTGTAATACGGTGTGTCATGTCGTGGGCATCCTGCCATGTGGTGTAATACGGTGTGTCATGTCGTGGGCATCCTGCCATGTGGTGTAATACAGTGTGTCATGTCGTGGGCATCCTGCCATGTGGTGTAATACGGTGTGTCATGTCGTGGGCATCCTGCCATGTGGTGTAATACAGTGTGTCATGTCGTGGGCATCCTGCCATGTGGTGTAATACAGTGTGTCATGTCGTGGGCATCCTGCCATGTGGTGTAATACAGTGTGTCATGTCGTGGGCATCCTGCCATGTGGTGTAATACAGTGTGTCATGTCATGGGCATCCTGCCATGTGGTGTAATACAGTGTGTCATGTCGTGGGCATCCTGCCATGTGGTGTAATACAGTGTGTCATGTCATGGGCATCCTGCCATGTGGTGTAATACAG